TAATTCTACCTTCTCTCTGAGTTAATATCTCTTCACGTGGTTAGGACATATTACTTTGCAAGTGATGTTCGCGATGCCAAGAAAAAGTGTCCGGCTCGGTGGTGTGTCCGGCTCGGTGGTGCTTTACGTTAGGTCTAAAGTAGGCTATTTTAGGCTAGTTATCTTTTAGAAGGTACGTATTATGGTAGGGCGTTGTATTAGCTGGACTATTATACGCACTAACCACACACAGTAGTGTGGGGAAATGCGGAGCAGTGGTGATGACGATGATAGATGATGATATCGGGTAGCGTGGTAAGTTGGGTCTCCACCTCGGGATCGTTTTTCTTAATTCACTCCACCAATATTTACCCAATTGGGAATTTTAGTAGCTCATTTTGTAGCCCTTAATCTAAGCTTCATTTCTGTCTAATCAATTAATAGAAAAACTCTGATAGGTAAGAAGTTATTAGCCTAGCCACCTTGCCAAGAGTTAAGTCTCCACATTTTACTCCGATCTCAAAATTCTCCCTATATAGTATAGCTAGCGTATTACTATAATATAGTAAAATAAAGCTCTAATAGAGAGCTTTAAAATAAGCTACTAGACTTCTTAATCGGGTAAGTATTGGTGGAGATAATAGCGTTTTTGAGATCCCGATGTGGAGACCCAATGACCAGCCTAATATCGGGCTGTAAGATTTCGGAAAATGGAAGTGGGTAAGATGCATATACAACTAGAGAGGGTGTATGCATAGATAAATGGTGGGGGAAAGGCGTGCTGGCCGATCCATACTAGCAACGTCGTATCTCAATATCCATCACGCATTGGATCGCGACGACGCTATTTTGCGCAATACGATCTCCAAGCAGCATATATTGAAATTGTTCGTATTGCATGATGTGATTGGCCCTGGCCGCTTCTTCTTATACAAATGCTATCATTGCCATCATCTATCTATACACCATCATTCTACTTTTGTACAGTGCAATTCTGCTCAAGCGACCTCGCCCCAAATCTGCTTGACCAGTTGCTTCTTGTTGATCTTTCCCATAGCGTTCCTCGGAATAGTACCTACAACCTTCATCTCCTGGGGAATCTTGTAATTGACAAGTATTTCCTTCAACGCCCTCCTCATGTCAAGCGCTGACCAGGGCTTGCCTCCCTTGCCAGCGGTTTTACCCTGTTCTGAAAGCACAACTACGGCAGCGACCTTCTGACCCCAGGCTTCTGAAGGTAGACCGACGACAGCGACTTCTTCGACCTGTGGGAGAGAAAGCATCTCCCGTTCGATTTCAAGAGCGGAAACCTTTTCCCCACCGGTCTTGATAATGTCGGCTGACTTGCGACCGTGGATGAAGTAGAGAGGGCCCTTTGCCCATGGCTGATTGCTCTTACCCGCTCCCTCGACGGCCCTCCGGACTGCGACATCACCAGTCTTGAACCATTTGCCTTGTCCGTCGGCATCCTCGGTGAACTCCTTAGACGTAGCCTCGGGGTTCTTCCAGTACTCCCTAAAGATAGTTGGTCCACGTAACTGAATCTCGCCTTGTCGCTCGCGGCCCGTTGCAGGATCAATCTCGTCGCCCACTTCTATAACCTGTCCGGTTTCAGTATCGACGAGACGCGCTTGCACCGAAGGAAGTGGCCAGCCGACCGAACCATCCACACGATCCTCAAAGTCGAGACCGCAAGAGAGGGCCATGCCAACCTCGGTCATACCATATCGCTCCAGCAGTACGTTGCCTCCGCTAAGCTCTGTCCATGCCGACTTGACGGGTGTGGGGAGGGCGGCGGAACCTGATATGTTGAGGCGCATATTTGAGGGGTGAAGGGCGGTCTTGGTTGCAGCCTGTAGCTCGGGCGAGAGGCTAGGATGAGAGGCAAGCAGGCGCGTGTATATGGTTGGGACGACGGTGAGGAAAGTAATGGGCTTCTTGACCGGGTCAGGATTTGGCAAGAACGGAGCTGCAAGGCGCTCCCAGGCAGCTGAGGCGTTGAAGGGAAACTGGAACTCAATGGTGCTACCAGCAAAGAGAGGCGTAAGCAATGCGTTGACGGTGCCGTGAATGTGGTGGAGGGGGAGGACATGGAGCAGCACATCATCGCTGCTGTAATTCCATGCCTCTAAAAGGGACTGCGACTGAGCTGTTAGCACATCCTGAGGAAGCAGCACGCCCTTGGGTCGATTCGTGGTGCCGGAGGTGTAGAGCATCATGCCTCCCTGGTTGCTGCGGGGCTCCTCGAGGGTGACATAGTCATCCGTCTTGCCCATCATAATCTTGTCCTGCTTGTAGTTAATAGGCTTGGTCGTCATGCCTTCCTTTAGCACCTCATCGGCCTGGCTCTGGAACTTTTCGGAGGAAAGCAGCATCAAGGACTCGCTCTGGTCAATGATATAGCGCAACTCGTGGGCGGGAAAGGCGGGCGACAGAGGTATGGCAACGGCATGGGCGGCGAGAATGGAGAGGAGTGTCACTGGGCGGAGGTTAGTAGTTGCGCTGGTATGAGGCTACAGACGAGTGTAAGAGGAATGCGCACCTACATAGTCGTAGCCGTTTTCTACGAGGAAGGAGATGCGCTGGCCCTCTGCACTTGCGCCATTGCAATTCCGCTGCAGCTTGTCCTTTGCTGCCGCGACGTCGTTGACGAGCTCTCCGTAGGTAAAGGAGCGGCCAGATAGTGAGTGTATAACTGCTGTAGACTGGCCATTGTGCTTCTTGATAGCCTCGAAGATGGGCAGGCGGGGCAGAGTCGATGCCATTCTGACAGAGTGCAGGGCAGAGGGTGCAAAGCGAGGGGAGTAGTGTGTGGTATAGGCCGTCGGTGGTGGTTTATGTCGGGCGAGGGTGCGCAAGAAGAGGTGACGCGCCCACATGGCGGCAAGAGATGCGGGATCTGCGCAGGAGGATGCGGGTTTCGAGGGTGAAGTGCTGCAGTGACTGCGCCCGAGTCATGCTGGCTTTGTTTGTGTCGCGCACCGCTGGTGAATGCCAATGCGGACTGGAAAAATAGCCTTGTTGAACGGAGGACGCAGTAATGGAGACGGTAATAATATTTCGGCAGCTTTCTGGGCTGAGTGGCCGCTTCAATTGCTCTTTTCCTTCTGCTCCATACTTTCCGAACCATGACGCGATCCATCCGAAAGCCGATCGCTTTCCGCTTTCCGACCCCGCCTTGGCACGCCTGCATCGGCCTGTCGTCTTACCTACTACCTACTACCTACTACCAGTAGTGCTCATGCAACCTACCTCTTTTATCTTCACCACCATCGCGACGCCCAATTAGGAATACAGGGGTTGTGCATGTTCTTCCAACGAACTAACCTCGCGGGACGGCGCTTTATGTCAGCCATGGCCCAATCCATGACTCCAATGGAAGACGCTCTGCGGACAAAGGTGACAGACATCTGTCCTACTATGATACATATTTGTATTTCATAAATCCAAAGACTGACTTGTTGTCAGATCACAGAGGCGTTGAAGCCTACAAGTCTGGAAATCTTCAACGATTCTCACAAGCACGCCCATCACAAGGCCATGCAAGGAGTGACTAGCAGAGAAACACACTTCCGGTAACTAAAAAAAACACTGCAACATGACACACCTCATGTATCTGGCACTGACTCACTCAGCGTACACATCACATCACCAGCCTTCCAGGGCAAGATGCAGGTTGCAAGACACCGCATGGTCAATGCCCTGATGAAGGACGAAATGGCAAAAGAAGGCGGCATCCACGCCCTGCAACTCACCACTCGCACGCCAGAAGAAGACGAAGCCAGGAAGCAAAAGGAAGCCGCACAGTTTTAGGCACCTTTGTTTGTATTTTCTTTTCTCTGTATACTCCAAATACCCAAATGAGCGTGAGCTCGAGACAAAAAAGAATCAAACATAAACACCCGGCAGACCTGCACTGTCACGAACGACACAGTCATCCTCGCTGCACCCTGTCACTTGCAACTTCTTTTTGTCAATCTGTCCACATCTCAATCTAGCCGCTGTCCCTGCCATCACACGGTCCCGCCCTGGCAGTGCAACTGTTTCTAACGCCAAGATCCTCACAGCCTCCAGCCGTGTTGCACCAGTACACATGGTTGTTGATACGCCCAGAGGTGACAATGGTGCCACTGTAGCAGTATCCACAGTAAAGGCCTATACTGCCTTGAGCTTTTGTGCTTGCCTCTTTGTCACGGAGCAACATACCTGGATTTGAGAGTCGGATGCACCTGCACGCCCGTTTGTCAAGAGTGGCAGGCTCAGGGGCAGCCTCGGCGACTGGAGCAGCGTCGCGTGCAACGATTTCAATGGCGTCGGGCGCTGCCTTGGGGAGAGCAAAGACGCTATCGGCGATGAGGAGGGTAGCGAGCAGAGTCTTGATGGGAAGCATGATGTTGGAGACGATGTATCTTGTCTGATTCCGATTCAATGGATGCTGAAACGACTTGTAGGGTGCCTCGTGAAAACCGTCTTCCTCGACCTTGTTATATACCTTTTTTTTCGAGTCTGCCTTCCACCATCCCTACTGCATCAACCACCCCCTCGCCCTCCTCTTCCCAAGTCTCCCATGATTCACCGGTATGATGCATCCATCAAGCAGCAACCCGTAGCTTCCAAGACTACACAAATTGAATACGATACCATCAATGCTACACGATGTTGTACAGGAACCCAAGACTAAGCAGTGATGGGAATAGTGTGCCATGATGTTAGGGCAAAAGAGCACAGCTTCCCCGCATTCTTGTCCATTCTCTGTATGTAATGTCGGTCGTACACTGACATGATCATGTCACCTCTACTTTTATTATCCAATCGACCTAAGAAAAAATATGGTTAGGGAGACCGGACTATTTACCAGAATGCGAACAATGCGACCCTCAGCGATGGGAATTATGGGGACTGGAGGGGTGAGTGAACTTCCATTGAATCACACAGGAAGTTTTGAAAATGGATTTTTTTTTCTAGTTACCCCATCTCCATGTCTATGGGCAATGCCACTAGGGAATAACGCTTCCAGCCAAAACTTGCTTAGACACGGGGGTGACTTGGAGGAAACCCGCTTCTTGCACAGTAGTACCAGCTTTTTTCAATGCCCTCGAATGTGTAGTACACACGGGACGAAGCAGTCTTCTCTCCTAGAATAGCACCTTCTTACTCCGCAACAGCCTGCCCATTCAGCTTGCCACCCTCAATCTTGTCCCCGCCCTTGAACTTGAACTTCTTGAGCCCCCGCAAACCTACGTTGATCTTAAAGCAGCATCCGGCAAACTCATCAATGGGGCCGCCATTCTCGCCGCTCGTACCACCAGCACTAGTAATGAACAGCTCCTCGCCCACAAAGCAAGGACACGTCGGCTGGCTCGTCGGCACCTTGATCTCGGCGACAATCTCGCCCTGGGGCGAAATCCGCAGGACGCAGGACCCACCGTGCAGCGCCGTCCACATGTAACCCTCCTCATCCAGACAATGGCCATCCGGCACCGCATCCTCTCCATACCGGTTATCCTCTGGCATAACAAAGTACGGCCGTCGATTCTTGATCTCGCCCGTCTGGGCATCGTAGTCGAACTGGTAAATCGTCTTTGTCGGGCTATCTGCAAAATACAAAACGTCGTCCTGCTTGTTCCACGTGGTGCCGTTGGGGATGCAGATGTCGTCCATGGGGCGATCGAGACTCAAGTCTGGGTTGAGGCGGAATACCGCGCCGTCTGATCGCATGTCCGAGACCAGAGGGTCGAACATGAAGCCCGCCCAGAACCTACCTTGGGAATCCACGGCGCCGTCGTTGCCGCGGAAGAGTTCGTGCTTGTTTGCGCTGATTTCGGACGAGGTCCAGACTTTTTTCAGCCAGTGGTATTCGCCGGTTTCTTTGTTGGCGACACCAAAGCCGTATTTGCCGGCGAAGATGAATTCCGTGTCGTTGCCTTCGATGTCGGCGGTGCAGCCGATGGAGATGTCGTAGTTTTTGATGGTTTTGAAGCTCGAGGGGCCCTTTGCGAGGTCGACGCGCATGACGGATTGCTTCTCGACGTCGAGGAAGCGGATGCTGTTCCTATCCTCTTCCCAGAAGGGGCCTTCGCCGAGGGCGCAGTGGGTTTTGAGCCATGGCTATGCGGAGAGACAGTTAGTGATTTGGAAGTTCTTCTTTGCCAGTGAGAATTGACAATTGGTGTCTGTGATGTTTGCGTGTACCGACATGAGCTGGATATCAGATACCCTTTCTCTTGTCTTTGTTGCAATGCTCATAACGGAGGGGCTGTATGACTTCGGCGGGGTAGGTCTCAAGAGCTACCTCACCCCCTCACCCACTTCCCGTCTTTCAGAATATCACACAAAAGCAAATACCCAACATACCTCTGTTATCTCATACTTCTTAACCTCAGACATTTTCAAAGATATTTCACAACCCGTCTCGTTTGTCCCGAGGCCCACCGACGTTTTCAATTCCCTTTTTAAATCCCTCTCTTAGCTAGCCACCGGCTGATCGTCTTTGCTATGCGTAAGAAACGTGTGCGTATGTGTGTGTGAAGAAGACTGTTTAAAAAAGGGAGAAAGGGGGGAAACCCAAATCCATACCTTATTCATATGACGTCCCGATGAGCCGCTGTTGAGGCTAGGAACGGCTTCCCGCTTTTGACATGTCGGCCTCTTTCTGGCCCGCTTATCGCTGCCTTCCCCCCTCATTCCTTCAATCTACTGCGCATCTATGTAACCAGAGTAGCCCATTCGCATGGGTTTCCAACCAGAAATAAGTGATACGTATACCGTAAGCTTGGGAATTGGTGACCCGGCTTTCGAGTATACAATTCTCATAGTACATCCGTTGAGATGGCGGATGTCCGTTCCCGGCTAAACGGTCCGCGAATGCCTGTGCAGCTGAACGCACGTTTTTTTTCGGATCGTTGTACTCTTTGTTCCGGGTAAAAAGTCGACGCAAGGATTCATCGTCTCTTGCTTTTCTCTCTTAAACTATACAGGTAGAGCCGTGTTGTAGGTATATTGGTTACTTTACTAATTTGCGTTTGGGGATATTTTGGCGACCGGGCCGATAAGGTCCTTTGTGAAGCATATGTACTTTATGGGATTCAAGATTTGGTACAGGATTTTATCCTATTTGCTTTTATCCAGATAGAAGTCTTGCTTGGTGTTGTCTGAAGGATGTCGGTAAAAGTCGAAGTCTGTTTGGAAGGTTGCAATATCGAAGATCCCGTGGTATTGAGGTGCGGGTTTACAAGTACCGACGGAACATGAAGGTATCAAGATAGTCTCCGGCAAAAACAGTGGTCAAGCTCAATGATTGTATGTTGATAAACTCGCAGCTAAGAATGAACAAACTGATTGTTTTGTTGCTACAAATGACTCAAATGATGCCCTGACGTGCTTGTATTCTCAAAGCAGAGTAGCGCAAACCAAATGCACCTAATAGTGATTGAGTGTTCGTAATCGACGTAATTTCAAGTTCTCCCAAATGTACTCGTACAGTGCCCAATACATATACAGCAAAAGTCCAAGCTTTCAAAGATGCCCAGCTTCCAAACGCGGTTCTTCACATGGATTTCCCTTGACCCCTCATCTCGTAGAGCTGGTCTATCAGATTACACCCGCCTCTTATTTTCCCATAGTCTTGTCCTTGAGCTCCCTTGTCTTCTCAGCAACCATATCCGTAACTCCCCTTGCCTCGCTCTTAACATCCTCAGCCGCGCCTCGAGCCCTCTTAGCCATTCGCTCCTTCCATGCCTTGTCCTCCTCGTCTCGCATCTCCAGCTCTCTCAGCCATCGCTCCCTCTTGTCCATGCGCTCCTTCTCTGCAACCTTCTTCTCATAGTCCTTGCGCTTGACACGGTCCTTTTGCCAGTACAAGTTTCCTGCGACTAATACAGCAATGGTGAATGCTTGTGCGTAGAGACGGCGGCGGAAGTAGACGTTTGTCATTTTGTGGTCGCCCTTGCGCATGGAGCGGGTTGCGCCCACAATGGCCCAGACGGTGAGGCCACAGCCGAGGGGCACGAGGGGCTCTTCGCGGAGACGGCGCCATATCTTGTCGATGGTGTTTTCGTTGTAGAAGTCCCTGGTACAGATGTAAGCAATTGAGACTTCAGATGCATGTATGTCGCCGAATCAATTGAGAGATAGTAGATACTCACTCATTTTCGTCAAAGGAAGAGGGGAGGGGCGCGCTGTTGGGAGGACCAAAAGACATGGTGGGCGCAAGATGCAAATGCGGAGGTGGCGGACAAGTCGCGTGCGTCGATGAGAGCAAGTTGGTAATTTTTACATGAATTTTTGGCGCTTTTCTTTATGAATCAGAGACTCCAGGCTCAATTTAATACTGAAGAGAAGCTCTAGAGACACTGGTAGGCTACTGCAGTAGATTGTAACTTGGTTCAAGATGCGGAGCAATCGATTATCTCACCACTCTCGGCCATCGGCCCTTCTTGATTTTCCAGCACCGATGCGGGTTGCGGCCTAGAGGAGACAAGAGCCTCTCAGGTCCCCCCCAGAGTTCGAGGACAAACGCTCGTCAACTCCGCCTGTCACTTACACCCGTCGCCTTCAATGAGAGACGAAGCGACACGCCAAATTCCCTCGCTGCGCCATGGACGATGAGGCCGAATCGTCTCGCGCACCGCAGCGCCATGACGACAGCGCGCCCAGTTTGGCGGCCCTGGAGGCCCTGGAAGATGCAATAGCTCGACTCGATGCAGCCGAGGAGCGTGAAAGAGAGAAACAGGTGCAACAGAGGCGGATGGATGCAAAGAGGAAGCGCATCCAGATGCTGGGCGAGCTGCTGCGTGACCTGGACATGGTTGTCTACTTGGAACTTATTACTCTCTACCATCTAGAGTATGCGCCCCGACGGTGATGCGCTGCAACTGTGCCGCTGACCACATACACACTGTAGTTGCTCATTCTTTTGGCTGGCATTCAAGGCCTTTATCCACGGCACGCTGCTTACCCCGATTCCCGACACCGTGACGGTTACCCGGCCGCCAGACGAACCCAAGCCGTTCCTTCCGCTGCTCCTCTTCTCCTTTGGCGTAACCTTTCTCCTGCATCTCACCTACCCGGCACCTGCAGCTGGCGAGGACACACGAGGCTATCTTCATGGCGGGTTGATGATTGACTTCATCGGTCAGCAGGGCCCCACGAGCAAGTGGAAACTGGGCGCGCTCGATATATGCATACTGTTCCTGCAGCTCGTCATGGTGTCAGTGCATGTAAAGAGGCGGGAGCTTAAGAAGAAGCTAGCAAAGCTGGCAGCTGGTGGAGGAGGAGGAGGCGCAACGAACACCACCACCAACCGAGCAACGTCAGACTCGGCTACAACAGAAACGGCGGCAGCAACAGCAACAGTAGCGAATGCCAATGTGGGCCGCGGGCAGGATGCCGATGACGAGGAGCGAGGAGTGCTGCACCGAACCGACACGCTATCGGACGTGGGTGCAGAAGCCGGGAGCGAAGACGACATGCTGCTGGCCGAATCCGAGTCGGGTCATGCAGATGCCATGGAAATGCTCAGCTCGGGCCAGTGCGTGATTGGCGAGTTCACGCTGCTTGACACGCTGGTGGAGGAGAACAGGAACTACTCTGCATATCGGCTGACGCGAACGGAGAGCGGCATGAACGATATGCCCGAGACTTTGCGGAGGCTCAACACTTTGCGCACCCGCTTCGGCGTTGGTCGTGGCTGAACGCAAGGCAAGGCAGTGCAGGTAGCAGTAGTGCAATCAGTGTAAGCGAAGGAGCTGGGTGGCTTTTTCTTGTTTCCTTATCAAACGCCCATGTTGGGTTTGTGATTGCTCCATGCCTGCAACGTTTCTTGTGCTTTTGCATCTCCGCGCAACTGGGATTCCTGTATCCCCGGAACAAGTAAAAAAAGGGCCCCCACATTGTCCTACCTTACCTTCTTTTACCCCACGCAACGCTTTGCATGTGAAGTCATTGCCCCCACGTCGCACTCGTAATACTACCATATTGGATGCAACCCAGAAACAGCAATGCCATGTTACACACTGGAACGGGGGTGGGTGTATGTGTGTGAGTGTAAGATACGCGGACTGTGCAAGTGCTGTGCTCTCACGCGCCTGGTCTTGATCGCAAATGTGTGTGTGCGTGCAGTCGGGTAATACATCGTAGTGTAAGATTAGTGAACAGCCAAACCCAAACCAGCCCTCAACCCAGATAGTAAGTAGTCATACTCGCCCCACGTGCCTAGTTCTTCCGAACTAGGCCCTACCCAGCTCAACGTCAACCACCAGCTCAACGTCAATTTTGCTACCCCCCACCACTTTGACTCAATTTTTCTCCACA